GAGGTCGGTGGGAGGATGGGTCGGTTCCCGCCCAACGCCTCCCGAAACTGTGTGGGGGGCCCACGCCGTGTCTTCGAGGGCTCTGGCACGGCGCAGTACCGCGGGGAGCTGGAGCAGAGGCGGCCCCGCCGAGCCAGCGCGCAGGGCGGTGCCGTCAAACTTTCGGAGGCTTCCATTTTTCTGGTGTGCTAAACGAGTACGGTTGGTTTCCTGTTTCGTTGCAAACAACGCGTTCGGTCTTTGAGGGCCCTCGGCGGGCCTGTCTCCATCGCATACTAGCCCGTGTAGATTCCAAATCACAGTAGTGAATGGCAGTTCCCCAACCCCTCTTTGGAAAACAAACTTTCCCCTCCTGAGGTTTTTGTTTGGGGGGGGGCGGTCCTTCCTGGACCCGCCAATCCGACTCTCAGGTTTTTGGTTGAGGGTTTCGGTAGTATTCTTCTCGGAGCCCCCCAAAGAACACCTTATGAAGGAAGTTGTTGGTGGGTTTGCGCGACGTCGCCCCGTCGGGATCATCCAAGCAAAAATTCTAATATTGGGGTTTGGCGGGGTTTAGGAGGATGCCCTCCTGGACTTCTCGAAGGCCCCCCCTGTAGGAATGTTTTTGTTGGTTTAGGGGGGTATCCGTCCCCCGGACTCTCCCCAAAACGCCCCTGTGAGGGGTTTGGGGTTTTATGGTTTTATCTCCTGGGCCCTCCGACCCCCCCCAGCGTTTTGTCCGGGGGGGGGGGCGGCCCAAAAGCTTTTCTCAGAGAACGCCGACGGCCCGGGAGGGAGGCCCCACGTGGTCCGCGAAGCGCAGGGCTATCTGGTCTGCGCTGAGTTTGGGGCCTGCGCCAGGCGGCGGACTGAGGGCCTCTGCGAGGCTTGCTCAGGGTTGCCCGAGGTCCCGACCAAGGCGGGCCGCGTCAGGAGGCGCGTGGCGGTGCGCATCCAGGGTGGCTTGCGCCCGAAAACGAAGGAGCAGCCCGAAACGATGGGTGGATCGTGTCGATTGCGTGTCTCTCCGCAGCTGGAATATACAGTATAACATGTGTCGCTTCGCGACGGCTTGCGCACGGTGATTCTCATCGAACTGTCCAGGTAATTATCCGAAGTAAGGTGGGACCGTTTGTGGGGGGGCGCCTTGATCACTTGCGCGTGGGAGTTTGCAAGCAAAACAACGCTCAACAACACAACACCATGCGGATACAGAGGACGCCATGGGGATAGCAGAGTAAGCCATGCGGATACAGAGGAAGCGCTTGGGATATTTTGACAGTGCAAGGGTACAGAGGAAACTGAAACCATTGGCTTAGTTTGACCGTGCAAAGGCAAACTAGGTGGTGGGAGCAGTGGACCAGTTGTCGATGCATTGGGCAAGGACTATAAGCGGGCCTATTTGGAAAAACGCGAACTGGGATGCGAAGCGAGCCTTGGGGAACGGCTCGGGGCAATCCTGGGACATCCTGGAAAACCCGTGTGGGCAAAATCTATACATTGGATTGTTTCTGTGGCTTTCAGAAGTTCCTGGGGGGGCTCGCACACCTTGGGGTGGGATGCCTTCCAGCAGCGGCGCCTCGCCGAGAGCGCTCCCCGGGGTGCCTGGGTCGTCCTGGGCGGCCGCCGGGTGGGCCAAGAGGTGTCCTGGAAAGCTGCTCGGAGGGACGGGGCCCTCCTCCACCCCCCCTTTTCCTCCCCCTCCTCCCACTCCTCCCCCTCCCCCCCCCCCTGGTCCCTCCCCTTCCCCCTCCTGCTGCTCAAAGTCTTGGAGGCTGTCGTCGTTGTGGGGGTTTGGGGGCGTTTCTGCAGGTTCTTCTCCTCGTCACGGCATGACGCGGCCCGAGAAGTTGGCTGGGCTTTGGAAACCGAACTTGAACGGGTTCCCTGTCAGATTCGCGCAGTTGTCCCCGTGCTGCGCCCGTCGTCCTCTCCCGATCCTTCCTCCACTTCTCCCACCTCCTCTCCCTTCGCCTCCTCCTCCTTCCTCTCCGCCCCTCGTCCTCCTGGTAGAGCTCGCGACGGAAGGTTTTTGCTTGTTCTCGGACGCTGGGGGTCTTCACTCGGCCCCGGGGCCTTCGGGCAGCTGCTCAGGATGGAAGGCCAGTCCCGGGGGAGTGGTCGAGACCTCCGAGGTCCGAGGGCCCACGTTGTGAGCCGTCCGCGGTGCCGCTTCACGTTCTTGGGCGCACGTCGCCTTGACGCCTTCTCGCGCCGTCGTGACTGTGATCCCCCCGACGGCGTCGATGACAATGACGTCCATCTTGCGAACAGGTGATCTAACGAGCTGATTTAACTTCACTTGTCTCTCCCTCTCCCTTGTACCCGCCTGCCAAGTCTATGCGCAAACCCCCTTTCACGGTAGGCTCAGTTTCATACTCGTGTCCGGAAGGAGCATTCAGCAGTGCATTTTGTGTGCGTTCTTCGCCATGGCAGTCATGTGAGCCATATCATGCGCGCGGGCAACCCATCGAATGCAGCGAATTGCGACGAAGTCTCGGGAGAGAGCGCCGTTCCTCGGTTCGGGTGCCACCAGGGCGTTAATTGCAGGAGAGTATCACGCGGGCACCAGCCTGATTGAAATGCGAGGGAGTATCGGGCGAGAGCGCCGTTCGTCAGTTGGGGTACTCTGGCCAAGGCGTCTCGGAGCAAATGGGCAGAAAGCATCGAGCGGGAGCCGCTGTCGTAGTAGTTGGGGCTGCCACGGCCAGGGTTGGGAGACAAGCCCGCGCTCGCGCGCGAGCCTCGTTTTCACAGAAGTGTGCCCGGCGTCGAGGCGAGAACGCTCGGAACCGCTCTCATATGTTAGCGACGGCGACAACGGGAAAAAGACGGCAACGACGGCCACGACGTCGACGACGGCGATCTCGACGAGTACTGCCTCGACGGCGGCGACGACGACGGCCCCTGGGGCGGCCGCAGGTTCGGCAGGGTGCGCACGGCGAAGCCACTGGCGTCCAGGGAGGAGTCGCGCGAGGTGTACCTCGTGTGCTGCAGGCTCGGGTCTGGACGAGAGGGGGGATGATAGGATGCAGCTCTTGAGAGGAGGAACAGGATGGCACCGATACCGCTGCTCTTGCTTTTTCAGATTTTTTTTTTCTGCGTTTTCGGGCCTCCTGGGAGGCCCTCGTCGCCACCGCTGGATTTGCCCCGAAAGTCTGGTCAGAACGCGTTCCCGGAGAGGTCAGGGAAGGAGCGGTATCAGTATGTTTTGGTTTCCCCAGCTTTTGGGATGGTAAGTTCATCATCGGCGCTGATTTTTTCGTGGTCGAAGGTCGGCCGCACCCCACATAGTTCCACATGTTGCGGTTTAGTCCGGAGATTGCCAAAGGGGTCTATTGTACATGGTCGGTTTCGTGCGTGCGGCCCCGCTCGAACTCAAAAACAGAAAGATAAATGGCACCGGCGTTGTGGAGGGTCACGTCGAGGCGAAGGCCAGGAGGCAGGAGCTGCGCGCTGAGAAACCTGGAAGGGCAGGACCTACAAGGGCACGCAATATTTCGATGTGGACACCTTGCCTTTGACGGGCTCGACGACCATCTTCCGCGCAGAAGAGGACAAGTCACGGTCGGTCAATCAGCAACCAGTTGCACGGGGCATCAGGAGGTGTTTCGGCTACAGCAGAGGAGGAGCCTCCCTGGTCGGGATCTGTGATTGATTTCGATTGGGAGGGCACCACAAAATTCGGCGATACAAGGTACTACGGTACGATCAGGACACGAAGTTCGCGTCGTCATCTGGAGTGGCACATCTGCTGGACACCAACATGGACCGTCTTGTTCGCGGCACCGCGCCCGAGGCAAACGGACAACTCTACTTCCAAGTGGAGCAGGAGGTGCTCGAGGAGGTTAAACAGGATATGCCAGGACCGAGGGGGCCTCCGCTGTGTTCTTCGGCCCCGGCGCTGCCCAGTCATGGGGCGCCCCCCCGACCAATGGTGCACGCGCGGCTTGGACACTTCAACTAGTCGAGCTGCGGCGGTTGCCGCATGTTGCACTGGGAGTGGCTGGGGCATCCGTGCAAAATGTTCTGGATCGGGAGCGGTTGGGAGCGCTTGGGAGCGCCTGGGAGCGCCTGGGAGTGCCTGGGAGCGCCTGGGAGCGTGCCGGGAGCGCCTGGGAGCGTGCCGGGAGCGCTTGCGAGCGCCTGCAAACGCTTGGGAGGATCCTCGTGCGTTCATCCCCGCCTACTCTTCGCCTATTCCTTCTCTTCCTCCTCCGTCGACGGCATCGAAGCCGCCGCCGTCGTTGTTCAGCAACAGCGAGGAGTAGCAGGGGAGGAGGAGGATGCGGAAAAAGGAGAGGGGGAGGAGAGGAGGAGGAAGGAGGAGGAGTAGGCTGATAAGGGCGGGGAGAAGGTGGAGGACGAGGAGGAGGTGGGGTAGTGGGACGAGAGGTGAGGTATGATGATGATGATGATGATGATGATGATGATGATGATGATGATGATGATGATGATGATGATGATGATGATGATGATGATGATGATGATGATGATGATGATGATGATGATGATGATGATGATGATGATGTGATGATGATGATGATGATGATGATGATGATGATGATGATGATGGATGATGATGATGATGTGATGATGATGATGATGATGATGATGATGATGATGATGATGATGATGATGATGATGATGATGATGATGATGATGATGATGATGATGATGATGATGATGATGATGATGAGGAGGAGGAGGAGGAGGAGGAGGATGATGTGATGATGATGAGGAGGAGGAGGAGGAGGAGGTAGGAGGAGGGACGAGGAGGAAGGAGGAGGAGGAGGAGGAGGAGGAGGAGGGAGGAGGAAAAAAGGCCACCAGAGAGCCATGAGCCTCTTGAATGACTCTCGGAATCTCCGCTGGTTTCTCGTGGAAGTGACAAGGGGAGGGAGGATGAGGGGGAGGAGGAGGAGGAGGAGGAGGAGGAGGAGGAGGAGGAGGAGGAGGAGGAGGAGGAGGAGGAGGAGGAGGAGGGAAGAGGTGGGGAGGGATGTGATGGAGGAGGGAGGAGGAGGAGGAGGCTGAGGAGGTAGAGAAGGAGGAGGGGTAGGATGAAAAATAAGAAGAGGAGGAGGAGGAGGAGGAGGAGGAGGAGGCCATCCAGAGACGATGCCCAGGCGAGTTGCCCCGATCTGGCAAGTGAATGAGCATACCGAGGAACAAAAGCTTAGGAAGCCGACGTACCCTGAGAAGGGAGAACATGGCGGAGAAATAGGAACAAAAAGGACACGAGAAATCGGATGATGATGATGATAACGAGGAGGAGGAGGAGGAGGAGGAGGAGGCAGAGGAGGAGGAGGAAGGGGAGGCGGAGACGGGAATGATGATGATGAGGAGGAAGAGGAGGAAGGGGAAGAGGAGGAGGAAGATGCAGATAAGGATGATGATGATAAAGTGGAGGAAGAGGAGAAGGAGGAGGATGAGGTGGGGGAGGGAATGGAGGGAGGAGGAAAGAGGCGGATGAGATGGAGGAGGAAGACGATGAGGAGGAGGAGGAGGAGGAGGAGGAGGAGGAGGAGGATGACAATTTTGAATTTGGGGGCCTCTTGGGCCGTCTTGGGGGCTTCTTGGCGATCCCGGGAGCCTGTTCCGTGCCTTAGGGGGGGCCTTTTGAGGCCGTTTGGGCGTTTCTTGGGAGCTTAATGGAAGCCTTTTGGGCGTCTCTTGGAGCCTCCTGGGCGCCTCTTGGGGCCCTCATGAGGCGCTCTTGAGAGCCTTGGGGGCGCTCTTGGGGCCATCTTGGAGGAGATCGATACAACAAAAGGGAGGGGGGTTTAGTTAGCACCGCCCCTCAGGAGCCTCTAAAATCGCCTCTTGGACCACTCTCAGAGCGCTCTTGGGCGCTCTTGGGCCCCTCTTGGGGCTTTCTTGAGCCATCTTGAGGCCACGGATGGCCATCGGAAGCGAAACGGCGAGAAAGCAACACTCATTAGTTTTCCTTAGGTTTTCAAAGGATGTTTGCCCCTTGGAGGCCTCCTTGGAAAGCTATTTGGCCTCTTGGAGCCGTCTTGGGACGGTCTTGGAGCCTCTTGGAGCATCTTCGGAGCCATCTTGAGGTATCTTAGGCTATCTGGATCAATCTTGGAGGTCATCTTAGGCTTTCCGAAGCGCTCTTGGAGCCATCTTGGGCGAAAAAGTACCCCCTGACCGCTCGCGAAACGCCCCGTCCAGGTCCAAGGGAGAGGGTTAGGGGGAGGGGTAAACCCCTCCCCGAAGGGGTGGTGAAGAAGAAATTGTTTGTTGACGCTTCGCGAATCCCCACCAGCCCATCCAGAAACGATGCCCAGAGGAATTGCCTCGATCAGGGAAGCGGGCAGCACGCAGAGGAAGGGTCCACCAGTGGAGGCTTCTTGGGGCGTCTTGGGGGCCTCTTGGCGGTCCCAGACGCATCTTAAAGCGTCTTGGGTGCCTCGGAGAGCTTCTTGGGGCCTCTTGGGGGTCTCTTGGGAGCCTCTTGGAGGCCTCTTGGGCGCCTGTTGGGGCCTCCTGTGGCCTCCTGGACGCCCCTGGGGGCCCTCTTGATGCGCTCTTGGAGCCCTCTTGGGCCATCGTGGAGCCATCTGGAGGCCTCGGCGAGAAAGCCAAAAACATGCATTTCCCTATGGTTTTGGACGGATTGTGGCCTCTTCGGGGCCTCCCGGGGGAGCTCTTTGGCCACTGGGAGCCGTCTTGGAGCGGTCTTGGGGCCTCTTGGAGCATCGTGGCATCTTGAGGCATCTTGGGATATCTTGAGCCATCTTGGAGATCATCTTTGGCTCTCCCAGGCGCTCTTGGAGTCATCTGAAGCAGTGCCCCCCCCCAGGATGCCAAAATGTGGCCAATTCCGTAGTACAATCAGCGATTTTGCGTCTTGGGTGCCTCTGGGAAGCCTCTCAGGGCCTTTTGGAGGTCTCTTGGATGTCTCCTGGGAGCCTCTTGGGGGCATCCTGGGGGCCTCCTGGGGGCCTCTTGGGGCTTCCTGGCCACCTCTTGGGGCCCTAATGTGGCACCCTTGGGAGCCTTGGGGGCCATCTTTGGGCCATCTTGGGTGAGATCGATCACAGGAGGGGGGTTGTTTAATTTGAGCAGGAGGCCAAAATGGTGCCAAAACCATAGTCAAACCAATGATTTTGGCTTCCTCGCCGAGGCCGTTTTGGACGCTCCGACACCTCGCGAAACCCCCTGTCCAGGTCCATGGGGAGGGGGCAAGGGGAGGGGTAAGCCGTTTGGGCGTTTCTTGGGAGCTTAATGGAAGCCTTTTGGGCGTCTCTTGGAGCCTCCTGGGCGCCTCTTGGGGCCCTCATGAGGCGCTCTTGAGAGCCTTGGGGGCGCTCTTGGGGCCATCTTGGAGGAGATCGATCAAAAAGGGAGTGGGGTTTAGTTAGCACCGCCCCTCAGGAGCCTCTAAAATCGCCTCTTGGACCACTCTCGGAGCGCTCTTGGAGCGCTATTGGGCGCTCTTGGGGCCGTCTTGGGGCTCTCTTGGGCCCCTCTTGGGGCTTTCTTGAGCCATTTTGGAGCCATCTTGAGGCCTCGGATGGCCATCGGAAGCGAAACGGCGAGAAAGCACAAATCATTTATTGTCCTCAGGTTTTCAAAGGATGTTTGCCTCTTGGAGGCCTCCTTGGAAAGCTATTTGGCCTCTTGGAGCCGTCTTGGGGCGGTCTTGGAGCCGATTGGAGCATCTTCGGAGCCATCTTGAGGTATCTTAGGCTATCGTGATCAATCTTGGAGGTCATCTTAGGCTTTCCGAAGCGCTCTTGGAGCCATCTTGGGCTCGCGAAACGCTCCGTCCAGGTCCAGGGGAGGGGGTTAGGGGGAGGGGTAAACCTCTCCCCGAAGGGGAAGGAAGGAGGGGTGGAAGAAGAAACTCTCTAAACCACCTACGCCCAGAGGGCTGGTGGGACTCTCTAAACCACCTTCGCCCAGAGGGCTGGTGGGATTCCTCATGCTTCCAACGCTCAGAGACGACCGAAGACCGCCCCAGGACCGCCCCAAGAAGCCTCCCAAGACAAGCTCAAGGCAGGCCCAGGACGGGCCCTCTGCCACAATGACCTCCGGCCATGTCAGAGGCCGACCCAAGCAGCCCCGCTTGTAAGCATTCTTCAGCCACTCTGGAGCCATCGTTGAGGCTCAAAGGGCTCATCCTGGAGCCCTCTCTTCGGGGCTCCTTGGGTCCTCCTCCGAGTCCTCTGTCGCCTCCTCGATGGCCGACCCAAGGGGCCCCGGATGGAAGCTCTCTTGGACCCCTCTTGGAGTCATTTTTGGCCATCATGGGACCATTTGTAGGCCCTCTCTTCAGGGCTCCTTGGGTCCGCTCGCGAAACTGCCGTCAGTTCGCCGGCGACTGACCCGAGGAGCTCCGCCTGAAGGCCCTCTTGGGTTGCCCTTGAAGCAATCCTTGGAACTCATGGCGCCGTACTTGGCCCCTCTCTTCGAGTCCTCTTGGACTCTCTGCCAGACCCCCCTTCGGCTTGTCGGGGACCGACCCAAGGAACCCCACCAGGAAGCCGTCTTGTACTCCTCCCCAGGGGGTCCGGAAGCCCCAGACCCTTGAGGGGCCCGGCTCAAAGAACCCTCGAGGCATCCAAGACCAGCCCAAGAGAGCTGCGAGAGCCGTCCCGAAAGAGCCCTAGGAGGGTCAAATCGTTGATTTCCAATTGTTTTTCTAATGTTTTTCGCCTTCTCACATTTTCCCGCTTCCAACCCTCGAAGATCGAGGATTTTGAAAAAGAAAGGAATTTCCAGAATTCCCTTTTTTTTGAAAATGGACTCCTACTCGGAGATCCCACACATCCCCTGATATCTGGCCGGTACCGCGCCTCCCGGCTTCCCGGGGGGCCCCCAAGACGCCCAAGGGCAGCCCAAGACGACCCCAAGGAGTCCCCAGAACGTAAAGAACGGCCCAACACGCTCCCGCGCAGCCCGAGACACCTTTCCGACTGTTCTCCAGGCCTCCAGGTGGCCTCCAGAACCTCCGGGGGGTCCGGAATATCCCACACCCCTGAGGGGCCCGGCTAACAAAACCCGCGAGGCACAAGCAAAAAACAGCGCCGAACAGCGCCGAGGAACTGGAAAAACATGGGAATCCAACAATTCCTTTCTTTATTTTTTCCACGTTTGACCCCCGGTCTACTCTTGCACAACAGACCACAATTCAGACCCCCCTCACCTCCCCCAAAAGAACCCAGGAAGCCTTCGAGGGCCCCAAATCGTTGAATACTTAGAGGAAAGTAATGATATCCGCGTTTCCGCACTTCCCCTTCTATACGATTCCGAGGCTTGCGCAGGGCCTCCAAGGGAGTCCCTGGACGCAAGGAGCGACCAACATGGGATTACACGAGTTAGCCTATCAAGCCTAGCTAGAACTTGAGCGCGCGCGAAGCGCGCGATGGTTCCAGTATATATATATATATATATATATATATATATGTGTGTGGGTAGATATAAACACCACACACACTTGTACACATCCGTTTCCACTGCCCCTCAAGGCCCCCGAAGCTCGATCCCCCAGGCAGATGCAGAAATCCCCGCCCTGCACGACTGCCCCGACGCGACCCGGCCGACCTCACAGGTACATGGCGCGCGAGGCGTACCTCGCGCAAGGACGCGCCCGCCTGCCCACCGCGCGTGTCGGCAAGCTTTCGGAGGCTATCGGGGGGGCTGGTGAAAGCGAGGGGGAGAGGAGGGAGGAGGGAGGAAGTAGAGGGAGGGAGGAGGGAGGAGGGGGTAGGAAGGAGAAAGGAGGGAGGAGGGAGGAGAGAGGAGGACGACGAGGGCGACGAGGAGGAAAAGGAGTGTCGCTGGGGAGTGTCTGGATCAAACAGGTGACGAGGAGACACGCAAGCACCTGGTGATGGCCCTGCGGCCGTGCCCTGCCAACCTGGTCCCAGGGCCTCGGAACGCGGCCAACTTTTGGCCTCGCACACACAAGCTGAGGAGAGGAGCAAATTAGGAGCTGATGACGTGTGCCACAGCTCTCCGCGGCAGCCTGCGCCAAAGCCAGCGTCCCCTGATTGTTCGCGTACGCTCCGTTGCACCAGCCACACGCTGATCCCAGCTGGAGTTGATGATGCATGGCTTCTGGCACTGCAACCCGCTGCAGCCACTGCCTGCCTGCCTTATCGCATTGATACCGCTGCTGCCGTTGCCTGCCCGTGCTCGCGGACTGCTGCACGCACGTTCCTGATCCTTCTCCGCATGGGCTCGTCTCAACGCTGTAGCTAATCGCGTCTGCTGTCACTGCCCTCTCGGTGATGGGACCAGCGCTGTTGCTGATTGCGTTGGGCTCGCGTCCTTCCTCCACTCCTGCGGCCACTGCCTGCCCTTCTTGCACGCCTTGGCATTCTCGCACAGCCCACCCCGAGCATTGTAGCCTACGTAGCAAATGTTGACTGCATGCCCCTAATTGCACGACCTCTCCCCAGTGGTGGTGCTGACGATGTCGGCTTGCACGCTCTTCCCCGATATGATCCCAGATTGTGGCTGGTGATGTCGACTCGCGCTTTGAGTCCTAGCGTTGGTGCTGATGGTGTATGCTCGCACGCCCTCGCCCTTCTCAGCGTTGTGGTTGACGAATTCGGGGTCCAGTTTTACCTCCCACCTCTCGAACAGTAGTGTTGGAGCCGCCTGCTGTTCGCCCTTCTCACACGCCCTGATCCCAGCTCTGTGTCTGATGACATCGGGCTCCAGCTTCGCCTGAGGAGGAGGAGGAGGAGGAGGAGGAGGAGGAGGAGATGGCGGCTGCGCTGGCGGCGGAACTGCGCATGGACTCCATGCAGCCCGGAGTCAGGCAGAGCGATCGTGTTGTTGCCCAGATTTCTGAAGGCTTTGGCCCCAGAACTAGTGGAGCGGCCCCAACTGAGCTTGCCCGGCCAAGCACGCCAAGGGGAGCGGCGAGCTCAGTCGAGGCAAAGGGCGCACCTCACGCGTACTCATCGTCCCCAGGTCGAGGTTGAGGTCATTGAAGAGGTCCTGGGCCCTCCTCTCCAGGGCTCCCTGAGGGGCCTGGCCGAAGCACCGCTTGCATGTCATGGCCCGGAGATACTTCTTCACGATATTCCCTAGATCAACATAGTTCGGGTGCACGCGAATGAAAAGCTTCACCTTGTTGGAATTGTGCATCTTCTGCAGCTTGCAGCACGAGACGGCTTCTTTGAGCCCGTCGTTTGCAGGTCTTGCCTTTGGGATCATTGGACGCGGGTGGCCGTCCAGATAGTCGAGCGGCATGACGCGACAAGCCTCAAGAAACTTCGGAATGTGGGCCCCAGGCCCCCAAGATGTTCCTCAGGATGGAGGTCTGAGGCTCAGAGGGTTAGGGAAAGGATTTGAGGACACGCCCACTCTGTGCCCAGAGGCACCGTGGCGGATTGTCTGGTGCGTAACGGTCGTTACCCGGGCCAGACCCTCCCCTCCCTCCCCGGGTAATAGTAACGATCACCATGCTCACGTTCCCGCAAGTGGGACGAGACGTCTTAGGACGCTCGATCGGAACGTTATGTTTTCTGTTTTTCTGCACCCCCGCCCCGACATGGCCCACCCCGCCCAAGCGTGACTGTTACCCGCCCCCCCGCCTCGACCTCCAGAGGTCCAGGCCACTTCCCTGGAGCTTGTTTTTCATCCCGAGTTGTTTTCTGGCGGCCCCGTGGCCAGGTGAGGGCCCCTGGAGGCCGAACCTGTTGTGGGCTTCCAGGTGGGGCAATGGCGGGGCCATGATGCCTCCCCCGATTTTTTGCAGCTGCAGCCCCCTCAACGCGTCCCCTGGCCCCCATCCCCTCGTCCGCGCACATGCCTCGGGCCATGATTTGCGCACCCCCCTCTTGCACGGTCCTCTTTGGGGCGCCTCCGACAAGCCTTCCGAGCGCGCAGCTCACAACGTCACCATCCAGTTTTCTCCGCTTGCATCGGGTTGACGCTCAGAGTTTGCTGATGCCGAACTGGATCGCCATCTCTCAAGGGCTCCCACGAGGGCGCGAAGTTATTCGCGCTTCGCGCTTCGCGGTCCTCGTTCCTTCTCCCCTTCTTCCTCGTCCTCCTTTTCTCCCTTTGGGGGGGCGGCGCGAGAGCGCGAAGTTATTCGCGCCTCGCGCTTCGCGGAGCGCGAAGCGCGAAGTTGGGAGCCCTAGCATCTCTCCACGGCACATTGGCTGCAGTGCTGGCGCTGCGGCCAAGATGGCGTTGGTCTTGGCCGCCGGGGGAACAGGCAAGGCCGCAGTCGCAAAAGGCTCACGCGTCAGACATGTACCGCGCCACTTCGGAATCGCTCGCAAGTTTTCTTCTCCCCTCCTCCGGACGCTCGTGCCTGGGAAGAGCGGAGGCCGCACATCCGAACGCCACAGCTGCAGTGCAGCACGGACGGGGAGGAGGAGCGGGAGGAGCAGGAGGAGGAGGAGGAGGAGGAGGAGGAGGAAGAGGAGGAGAAGGAGGAGGAGGAGGAGGAGGAGGAGCATGGCACGGTGGTGGCCAGGCATGGGCCGCAGCCCTCTGGAGACCAGTGTGGGAGTACCCTGGAACCCCCCCAGGAACCCTCCGAAAACCTCCCCAGTTGTTACCTAACAGCGAAGACTGATAGGTTTCTAGTGGACTCAAAAGAGAGCATCTTGACTCCCCAGGGGGGTCTGGGCGGATGCTGGGGAGAATCCGGGGACTCCCTGGGACTCCCCATAGGGGGGTCTGGGCGGGTGCCGGGGAGGATCCGGGGACTCCCCAGAACACCATTCCCAGGCCACATTTTGAATGCCCGGAGACAACTGTAGGCCACTTCGTGATCTTCGTGTTCCCAGAACATCCCAGGCCACATTTTGAATGCCCGGAGCCAGCTGTAGGCCACTTCGTGGTCTTCGTCTTCCCAGAAAACCTCTCCCAGGCCACATTTTGAATGCCCGGAGCCAACTGTAGGCCACTTCGTGTTCTTCGTGTTCCCAGAACACTATTCCCAGGCCACATTTTGAATGCCCGGAGCCAGCTGTAGGCCACTTCGTGTTCTTCGTGTTCCCAGAACACTATTCCTGTACCATATTTTGATTGCCCAGAGCCAACTGTGGGCCATTTTGTGATCTTCGTGTTCCCAGAACACCAGTCCTGTGCCGTATTTTGAATGCCCGAGCTGAGGCAGGCTGAGGCCGAGGCAGGCTGAGGCCGAGGCAGGCTGAGGCTGAGGCTGAGGCACGCCGAGGCAGGCTGAGGCTGAGGCTGAGGCAGGCTGAGGCTGAGGCAGGCTGAGGCTGAGGCTGAGGCTGAGGCTGAGGCTGAGGCTGAGGCTGAGGCTGAGGCTGAGGCTGAGGCTGAGGCAGGCTGAGGCTGAGGCTGAGGCTGAGGCAGGCTGAGGCTGAGGCTGAGGCTGAGGCTGAGGCTGAGGCAGGCTGGCTGAGGCTGAGGCAGGCTGAGGCTGAGGCCGAGGCTGAAGGCAGGCTGAGGCTGAGGCTGCAGGCTGAGGCTGAGGCTGAGGCTGGCAGGCTGAGGCTGAGGCTGAGGCAGGCTGAGGCTGAGGCAGGCTGAGGCTGAGGCCGAGGCAGGCTCAGGCCGAGACAGGCTGAGGCTGAGACTGAGGCTGAGGCTGAGGATGAGGCTGAGGCTGAGGATGAGGCCGAGGCAGGCCGAAGCTGAGGCAAGGTGAGGCTGAATGGGGGGGGGAAGGGGGGGGGATAAGGGGAGGCTGAGGCAGGCTGAGGCCGAGGCAGGCTGAGGCCGAGGCAGGCTGAGGCTGAGGCTGAGGCAAGCCGAGAAACGCTGAGGCTGAGGCTGAGGCTGAGGCTGAGGCTGAGGCTGAGGCAGGCTGAGGCTGAGGCAGGCTGAGGCTGAGGCTGACGCAGGCTGAGGCCGAGGCAGGCTGAGGCTGAGGCTGAGGCACTGAGGCAGGCTGAGGCTGAGGCCGAGGCAGGCTGAGGCTGAGGCTGAGGCAAGCCGAGGCAGGCTGAGGTTGAGGCTGAGACTGAGGCAGGCTGAGGCATCCGTAGGAATTCATAGGAATCCTTAGGAATCCCTAGGAATCCTTAGGAATCCGTAGGCATCCTTAGGAATCCGTAGGCATAGTTAAGCATCCTCAGGAATCAGTAGAAATCCTCAGGAATCCCTAGGAATCCATAGAAATCAGGATGCTTAATGATTCCTAAGGTTTCCCAAGGATTCCAATGGATTCCTAAGGATGCCTAAGGATGCTTTAGGAATCCCTAGGAATCCTTAGGGTTCCATTGGATCCTAAGGCTGTTGCCACTGCGACTGTCATTGCGAGTGCGACTGCGACTGCGAGAACAGCAGAATTCTACAACTGGATTCTCACCTGAATCGTAAGGGGAATGCTTCCAGGTATGCTTATACACATTGCTGTTAGGTTGCTTTGCCGGGAAGTTTTTTCTTAGATGTTTCCCCCCCCGGATCCAGGGGGGGTAAGCTTGAAGGGTGTATTGTGGGTTTCCGGGGCCCGACCCTTAAAAACAACATGATTATCTTTCACAGGGTGTCTAGAGCTCCGACCACTTTATTTACTCCGCGTCGCACCCCCCCTCCGCGTCCCCAGCGCCCGCCAGAGTGGGACCCCCGCGCCGTGGCTCTCTGCCCCGAGCCCCCCCGCGTCCCGAGCGCCCCAGCGGGAGCCCCGCACACTGCCCCCTCCGCCGCGAACGCTTTATTCCGCGTCGCACATCCCCTCCCGCGTCCCCAGCGCCACAGTGGGACCTCCGCGCCGTGGCTCTCTGCCCCGAGCCCCCCTGCATCCCCAACGCCTCAGCGGGGGCCCCGCCCACTGCCCCCTCCGCCACGAACGCTTTAGTCCGCGTCCCCCCCCCCCCTCCGCGTCCCCAGCGCCAGAGTGGGACCCCCGCGCCGTGGCTCTCTGCCCCGAGCCCCCCCGCGTCCCCAGCGCCCCAGCGGGAGCCCCGCCCACTGCCCCCTCCGCCACGGACGCTTTATTCCGCGTCGCGACGCACACCAACTCCCCCACGCGTCCCCAGCGCCCAGTGGGGGCTCCGCCCCGTGCCCCCTCCGCCCCGACAATTTTATTCCGCGTCGCGACGCACACCACCTCCCCCTCCCTCCCCGTCCCCAGCGCCAGAGTTGGACCCCCGCCCCGTGGCCCTCTGCCCCAAGCCCCGCCCAGTGCCCCCTCCGCCCCAACCATTTTTATTCCGCGTCGCGACGCACACACCCCCCCTCCTCCTCTCCGCGCCCCCAGCGCCCCAGTGGGACCTCCGCCCCGTACCCCCTCCGCTCCGAGCACTTTATTCCGCGTCGCGACGCACACCACCTCCCCCCCCCCTCCCCACCTTGGATTTGGGCACCGTTGCTGGGCCTCGAGGGGCAATGTCTTGCCCCCTCTTCCCCCCTCCTCCACCTCCTCCTCCTCCCCTTCCTTTTTGTGCAAGATCCAGGGCACACGTGCCACTTGCTTGTTGAACAAAATACATGCCAAACAAATGTTCAGGCACACACACACACATATGTATGTGTGTATATATATATATATATATGTATATGTGTATGTATATCATCATCATCAGATCGCAATTCGGGCCACCCCCCCGGGAACCCGCCATCTCTGGGATATGTTTTTCTGTTGTCCTCCGAGGGGGTACTTTCGAACAAAAATCGAATGTTGAGGTTTTTCGGTGAGCTTTCGTTTTTTTTCTAGGGGTGGAAACCCCCGACGAACACCCCAAGTAAGGGTCGAAGGTTTTGTTCGCGGGTGCCCCCCCCAGGAGAATCCGGGAGCCTTGGCTGACCAGAAAACCTTGAAAACCCACCGAAAAACCTTCCAAGTTGGGCTTTTGTTCCAATGGTTTCCCCCCTCGGAGGGTCCTGGAGTCTGGGCTGGCCAGAGAACCTCAGACAAACAGAGAATAAACACGAAAATCATCGAGTTTGGGTTTTGTTTTGGATTTTTTCCCAACCCTCCTTGGTTGGGTATTCGTTTTGACTAGAGCAGTGTGGTCGCGTCCCTCCTCCCTCCTCCTCTCTCCCTCCCTGCCTCTTCCTGTCTTGCCTGCGGGGGGCTGCGATCTGTGAAACTGTCGCCATTTTCGAGGCCTGCTGGGGGGCCCAGCACAGTGAGGGCCACGGGCAGATTCAAATTAGACCTCGCCATCCCTGGGGGGCTGCGATCTGTGAAACTGTCGCCATTTTCGAGGCCTGCTGGGGGGCCCAGCACAGTGAGGGCACGATTCAAATTAGACCTCGCCATCCCTGGGGGGCTGCGATCTGTGAAACTGTCGCCAAGTGAGGGGGCCACCTCGCCACCTCAGGGCCCAGCACAGTGAGGGCCAGATTCAAATTAGACCTCGCCATCCCTGGGGGGCTGCGATCTGTGAAACTGTCGCCATTTTCGAGGCCTGCTGGGGGGCCCAGCACAGTGAGGGCCACGGGCAGATTCAAATTAGACCTCGCCATCCCTGGGGGGCTGCGATCTGTGAAACTGTCGCCATTTTCGAGGCCTGCTGGGGGGCCCAGCACAGTGAGGGCCACGGCAGATTCAAATTAGACCTCGCCATCCCTGGGGGGCTGCGATCTGTGAAACTGTCGCCATTTTCGAGGCCTGCTGGGGGGCCCAGCACAGTGAGGGCCACGCGCGGATTCAAATTAGACCTCGCCATCCCTGGGGGGCTGCGATCTGTGAAACTGTCGCCGATTTTCGAGGCCTGCTGGGGGGCCCAGCACAGTGAGGGCCACGGGCAGATTCAAATTAGACCTCGCCATCCCTGGGGGGGCTGCGATCTGTGAAACTGTCGCCATTTTCGAGGCCTGCTGGGGGGCCCAGCACAGTGAGGGCCACGGGCAGATTCAAATTAGACCTCGACATCCCTGGGGGGGCTGCGATCTGTGAAACTGTCGCCATTTTCGAGGCCTGCTGGGGGGCCCAGCACAGTGAGGGCCACGGGCAGATTCAAATGAGACCTCGCCATCCCTGGGGGGGTGCGATCTGTGAAACTGTCGCCACTTTCGAGGCCTGCTGGGGGGCCCAGCACAGTGACGCCACGGGCAGATTCAAACGAGACCTCGCCATCCCTGGGGGGCTGCGATCTGTGAAACTGTCGCCATTTTCGAGGCCTGCTGGGGGGCCCAGCACAGTGAGGGCCACGCGCGGATTCAAATTAGACCTCGCCATCTCCGGGGGGGTTGCGATCTGTGAAACTGTCGCCACTTTCGAGGCCTGCTGGGGGGCCCTGCACAGTTACGCCACGGGCATATTCAAACGAGACCTCTCCATCCCTTGGGGGCTGCGATCTGTGAAACTGTCGCCACTTTCGAGGCCTGCTGGGGGGCCCAGCGCAGTGACGCCACGCGCGGATTCAAATGAGACCTCGCCATCCCCTGGAGGCTGCGATCTGTGAAACTGTCGCCACTTTCGAGGCCTGCTGGGGGGCCCAGCACAGTGACGCCACGCGCGGACCCAAATTAGACCTCGCCATCCCTGCGGGGCTGCGATCTGTGAAACTGTCGCCACTTTCGAGGCCTGCTGTGATCACCATTTTCGAAGTGGCTAGGAGTGCCCAGGAATTGTAACTCATCAGTTTTATCACGCCCTTTTCCTGTAGCC